TACTGATTGAAACAGAAATCATCTATGAAATTCATCCATTCACTTCTTCATCTTTAATTGGACGACAAAATTTATCTCTTTATCGAATCCTTTTCTTAAACGTTTTTTTGCAGTGCAGCGCAATAGTGGGATGATTCTTAGAAGACGGAGGAAAACATTATTGTAAAAAAAGGATAAACGTACCTAAATCAGATTGACAGATTGACTGATCAAATGAATAGGCAAAAATCACGTGATTTTCAGGGCAAGTTTGAAATTACTGATTTGGGACTGAAGTATTTGTCTAGGGTCATGTGCATCGGGCCATGTTTGACAAGATGAAGACGCACAATGCATAGTCAAAAACATTTCATGTCCAAGTCGTACGATTCGCATCCCATAAGTTTTTCTCCAAGACGACCAAGAAAAAGAAAATTTCCCAAGTCTCGATTCAAACATAGCCATTCACTAAACCGAGTCCGAGGACATTCACGGGCCGCTGCAAGGGAACGACTATTGGAATTAAGTCGTCCGGCTAAATCGGTGTCTTTGTCACCGAACTACGCTTCAATTAAATGGAATCCACCATTACGACGTGAACATGTGAATTTGGACAAGACACATCAGAAACAATACGTCCCGGTGCTTATGGAGTCGGTGGAAAAATTGGCTTGTTTATTCCCCCCGAACGGTACAGAGAAACAAGAATCCGATACAGAATTGACTATTTAGTCGAACAAAATTTAGAAACTATTCGGATGTATAATATTTATTTGTTCATTTCTACCGCTCAATGAGTGCATTTATTTGCAAATTATTGATTTGAACTAGTAAGCTCTGTGTTACGAAATTAACGAACAGTCACAGTTACGACCGGCATCAATTTTTTCACACAGGCCGTAGATAATTCTCACAGCAAATCTGATTTGCGGTATAAATTGGACTCTCTGTGTATCTGAGTATTTTTTCATTAATACGATAGGCTATATGAAAGACCAAAGCTGCACACAACAAATATTCACACTTATGCTGTATGAAAACGTTTATTCTATCTCACAGCTCCCATTAACCGATCTCTACGCATGGATTTGAGCTGCTCA